TTGGAGGTGATGTTGTCACTTGATAACAATATGTTATCGTTTTTACGAAATTGAAAATAACAGTTTAACCTCTTCGCTCAGCCGTAAATTTATTTCTTCCTAAGTAGGTGGACTTTCAAATATAATGATAATATTATCACGGATGTCTATACGTCTGACTTAGATGCTAATTCAAACTTAAATTAGACTTTATCGATTGGGCAAACATGTAGTTGTGGCGCACTTAAGACCCCCGCATTTAATCTAAGGCTTTTAAGGAGATAAATCCAGAACAAAATGTCACAAATTGTTTTTTCTGACGCATTGTCTCCTTTTATTGTAAATGATAAATACAAGGTGCAACTATGAACTCTTAAGCGGTGTTTGTTACTTAAAAGCCATTTTGTGGGCGCATTTTTAGAGAGTAAACGCATTTGAGGAAGTAAATATCTATCTATTGATTTCCGACCGTGATAAAGTGCTTTGTTTACTTCAATGTTAGGATGTCGTGATGAAAGGAATATTGTTAATCGTATTAGGTGATGAAAACAAAAAAATTTCCAATCACCTACAGCTTGCTTGATATTAAAACATTTTGCTTATCTTGTTAACCAAAGGGATGAAGAAAGGAAATTACATCGTAGGGCGAACCAGGTAAAATAGTTTTTGTTGAAAAAATAGTTATTACTTTCCTGGATAAAATAAAAAAAACTGGTAGAAAATGAATGAATAGGAATAGGAAAAATGGTTTGGTGCGCATTACGTCTTGTTACGGTTTTGTTTTTAATATAAGTCCCGGGACACAAAACGGAAAGGAAAAACTTGTTATGGCATATTGATTCAAACATTTAAAAATATGTTGGCATCTGGCACCAAAATTTAAATTATAATTGTTTGACGTATTCACAGATTGTCTCAAATCCAACTTTTCTGGGCCCAAGTAAAATCGCCAGCTTGAAATTTTTATTTCCAATTTTTCATCGCTAATACAAGTCTGAACTTCACACAAATGATATGGACACCAGGTTAGCACTTTATCAGTGAAAGTTGATCCAGGTAAAAGAAGATTGTTCGTCGTTCTTTTAAAAGAATGATATCACAGATGTCTCTCCATTTTCTACTTATTTCCATTTCGCCTGAGATACCTAAAAGGTTCAATTATTGGGCACAACTGACAATTTTTTGATGTATTTGAGTTAAATGAGTTAACGCTGGTGAGAAATTCTCTACGAGAATATCATTAACTGAAGTATGAGGTGTCATTGATCGTGGCTGGATGTGGGCTGTTTAGACGACATATCACTCGTTGCAATCTTAGATAACCTACAACAAATTTCCGAAGAGTTGGAACACAGACGAAAACAACTGAAGAACTGCTATGCTCTCCCTCTTTAGTGGGTGGGCATCAATCAGCATCGGTTTCAAACGTGAGCATCCCACAGCTGCAAATTTCTGACGTATTTTAATTGATTAAACGCTAGTGAGGAAGTCTTAATGTGTTTATCGAAGGAAGGTTTCATTTATCATCGTTCGGTGAGTCCTGTTTGGACAAAATATTTCTCGTTGCAAGAACAGAGGAAACGAATGCAGAATTATGTCGACAACAAATTTCACCAGAGGTGGAACACAGACGGAAACATTTGGAGAACTGATATGCTCCCCCTCTTTGACAGGTGGACTTCAATCAGCATCAGTTTATTTCGCAGTAGTCAACATTTTCCTCTCCATCACAGCATTTCTTGGTAATTCTCTCACCCTTGTTGCCCTTCACAAAGAATCGTCCCTACATCCGCCGTCCAAACTCTTGTATCGTTGTCTGGCAACAACTGATCTGTTGGTTGGTTTTTTTGCTCAGCCTCTGCGTGTTACTATTTGGATGTCCGTGGTTCACAAACATTGGAGCCTTTGTCATTACGCAAACAAAGCAGCCTACATCACAGGCGTAGCACTATGTGGAGTTTCTTTGCTGACGATAGCGGTAATAAGCGTGGACAGGCTTCTCACCCTGTTTTTAGAACTGAGATACAAAGAGATTGTAACCCTGAAGCGCATTTATATCGCTCTAGCTAGCTTTTGGGTTTTATGTCTTGTCGCCTCTTTGTGCATCATTTTCGATCAGCGTATAACCGCTTTGTATACCCGGATATTGATACCACTTTCGCTGCTTATTTCACTCGCCTCGTACACAAAGATATTTTGCACTCTTAGACATCATCAGGCACAAATACAACAACAGCCGAGCCAACCAAGTGCACTGAACATGGCGCGATACAGAAAAGCAGTGCACAGTGCTCTGTGGGTACAGTCAGCATTAGTTGTTTGTTATACACCATACTATATAGTGGATATTGTAGTCACTTATAGTACAACATATTCATCACACTTAGTCGTCGTATTGGAAATAGTGACTATCTTAGTTTACTTTAACTCAACGTTAAACCCGTTTCTTTACTGCTGGAAAATAAGTGAAATGAGAGAAGGAATGAAGCAGACAATCAGACAAGCACTATGCTGTCCATGAGGTTAGACCATCCTGGAGTTATACATATAAGTACTTTCAGTGCAAAGTTGACCAATAGAGAGCGCATGCCACTTAAATTTTTGCTCGAGGTCTGTCGATAGTATAGTCACGTAAAACTAAATGAAAGGCAATTTGGAGACACAAACCAAAGCTTTTAAAAAGTATTTTACATGCTACCAAACTTTTTTTGGAAAGCATCAATCATTAATCGAAGGAAAGATATACGTGCACAAGAGGATATATAATCTCTTATAATCTCTTGACTTAAATTATACTCCCATGAATATTATTATAAGAAAGCTAAAGAAATAAAATTGACCATCACGGTTTTTATTAAAGACTAGGTGGGATGCGGTTTCAGAGGATGGTGCTCCAGTGCCAATCGATCCTTCATTGAGATTTAGACATTTTTACGGATTATCATGAATATTCTGAATAAATTGACGATATGATTAACAATGTACAAGTTAACAAGCTTTAAATAACTTATATTGAGTTAATAAAATTCTAACGTTTTTCAGTTTCTCGTTAAGTGATGGCTCTACCTCCTCGGTAAAAAATTGTTAAATATTTTTATCGCTTGTTTCTAGTTTTTAGTATCCATTCCTTCACTTTCCTTCTCGATCAGTAGATTATTATTTTCACTTTAGTATATAACTCTGGTTATCGGAGGAGAATGGCGAGTCGCTCAGGGGAATTATGACATGAAGAAATTCAGACACCTGTCGTATACATGAAAGCTTGCTTGGTATCAAACTGATTTTTCTCCTCCTTTCGCGGCACGACGTTTGCAGAGAAAAATTTATAACAGAGCTATATAGGGTATAATAGGCTAACTTTGGCTTATAAATTTTCAAGGACAATTTTGTTAAAAAAAACTTTTTGGCGAAAAGAGGAGAACAAATAGAAGATGAAAAAGAAACAGCAAAAAAAATTGTTTAAACACGTAGTTTCTTGCTATTCTTTTGTTTCATAATTCGTTTTGTCGGAGACAAAACGGAAGTAAAAGAGCCACAAAATTTTACTATTTACACAGTAAAATTCAAATACCCTACATTAAGTTTACATCTGTGACCATACACTAAATTTGAATCGTTATATGCATTCAAATTGCTGGACTGTTTGTCGTGGATTTGACATCCTCAGCTCAAACCTTCTTCATTTTTAGTTTGCTGAGGCTGATAATGACAAGGCTCAACCTTACACAAATTATATGGACATTCGATTGACACCCTATCAATGAAACTAGGTTGTATAGACATCAGCCTACGATGGTTCCAGGTTCCCATTATTAGCACTGCGACATGGCGTTCCTTCGACCCCGGGTCGTGTCGCTTAAGGCCTCAAACATATTCGAAGGCGAAGTAACTCGTACTGAAGCCTTAATAGCGAATGCCTTCTCGCAGGCTAAATAAAGCGGGATTGTTTGTCGCAACATGAAAAAAAATAATCTTAAAGATGTCTTTAAATATTTCAGAGCCTCTTATTCCTATTTCATACGTGATGTAAATGACAAGTTAGGCACAAAAAAAGACTTTTCGACACAGCAGACGATCTTCTGACGTAATTAAAACGAGTAAAGATTAGCGAGGAAGTTTTTTAGATGATTGCTATGTAGGAAATAGGGTTTCAGTGATCGTCTTTGTACAATTGCTGTTTTAACGAAATATTTTTCTACTTGCAATCATGACAAGAAACAGGAAACGAATGCAGAATGAAGTCGAACAAGATTTTTGGAATTCATAATCTACCACCATACAGGGAATATTTCTCCAATTAATCATCATCCCAAAAGAATGACAGCATATCTAAATAAGCTGCTTATTCTGTCTCTCAAAAACTGACAAAAGAGAGTTTTCTTATTACATAGTCAAACAAAAATGTAGCCGTTGTCTTTGTGTTCGTCAAGGGAATTAACTTTTAGTGCTCATTTGAATGTAAATTAACTTATTCTACTGGAAAAACACAGCCGCAAGGAAAACGAAACAAATACAGAATTATGTCAACGACAAATTTCACTTGAGGTGGTATACAGGCTAAAACAATTCTAGAAATGCCAATCCATGCTCCCCTCTTTGGTAGGCGGGCTTCAACAAGAACCAATTCCTTTCTCAGCAGTCCACATTCTCCTCTCCATCACAGCGTTTCTTGGCAATTCTCTTATCCTTGCTGCCCTTCACAAGTGATCTTTCCTTCAACCCCCTTGTATCGATGTTTAGCAACAACTGATCTGTTGATTGCTTTCTTGATAAAAAAGAAACACATTTTTATTACCTCACTAACCAGACAAAGGAAAAAAGAAAACTACATCGTAGGGTCACATAGGCTAACTTTTCCTTGTTATTGTTTAGTATTGTCTTCAATATTGGAAGAATCCTTCGATTTAATAACGGGCTTCAATGAAATTATACCTTTTAGTGCTAATTTGTACTTAAACTGAACTTCATTGATTGAGATTAAAAAACTTGTCGCAACCCACCCAAACGCTATTCTGAGAAATTAAACATTTCCTAAAGAATTGGATGAGTTGCTGGTTTGTCTATCAGCAATTTCCCCGTCCAAAAATAAAACTATGGATCTAAAGTTAACATATAAATATATAGATGTAAACCCATTTTCGAAAACAATACTATTTGAAAAAATATTTGAAATAGTCTGTATAAATATATTTTTTTCTTTCTCATCAAAAAGTGTCTCTTTTTGATGAAAAAAAATGTTATATATGTTTATATGTTTTCAAATTCGAAAGGTTTTTTAAAAGGGGTATTTGCATATATTTGTGAAATCAAACGAAACATAGTCATGTAAACAAGGCCTAATACAAGTCCGAATCTGTCTTGGCAAGCAAGTGTCTCTTTAACAATTTATTCGTTCCTCAGTGTGCGATACTAAAATAAAGCACGAGAAAATTTTAGAGAGTTTGAAATGTGGGTCAGAGTTGATAAAGGAGGAGTTTCTCCTACAACAATCGAAACTTTTTTAACGAATGTTGATAAGCTTTGACGACCCATCCCTTAATTTTCCATCTCGATTAATAAATTATCCTGTTTACTTTATTATTGGAAACGAATTGTCATCACCAAAGGAGAATCGTAAATTGCTGAAGAAAATCGCATAAACAAAAATTGAATAATTTTACTATTACATTAAAGCTTGCTTGATACAGAGGTAATTTCTCGTCATATTGTGAACAAGACATTAGAATCAAATAAATTGCTAGAGTCTAAAAGGCCATCTTTCTCTCGTCGTTATCTGGGACAATCGATATTAATTTACTGGCCAAAGCGGGAGAAGAACAACAACTAACAGTGAAAGAGAAAATTGCAGAAAATTGTTTGCTGGCGTAATAACTTGATCTTGTTACCATTTTGTTTTTAGTTCTAGTCGGATACGAAACGGAGAGAAAAAAGCCTCAAAGCGAAATTAGATACACAGTTAATTTCAAATATTTGGAAACAAGTTTGTATGTGTGGCCGTACATTAATTTTGAATAGTTGTGTGGTCTACGTAGTACATTGGGTGATTGTCACGAATTAAATTTTCTCCTAGTACAATTGACATCGCCAGCTTGAGCTTTTGCATTTTCAGCTTTCCGTAGCTGATAATGATTCAAGTTTTAACTTCACACGACAGATATGGATCCTTGATTAGCAACCTATTATATTGAAATTTGATTATGGTAAAGAGCGGCTCTTTGTCGCACCGTAAAAACACCAAAGTAATAGATGTTTCCATATTTGCCCTTTATTGCTATTTCATAAAAGAGGCACCCCAAAGTTTCCGAAAAAATTTAATTATTTCGACCCAATTTAAATTTCCTAATGCATTTTAAATGAGTATTAAGTTTTGATGCGATTGTTAGTTAGGAAGTAAGGATTCAGTAATCCTTTGTGCTATTTTCCGTTGTAAGAATAGAAACCTACAAGAAAGAGGAAACACCGAAGACAGACTTATGTCGACATCAAACTTCAGTAGCGGTCGAACTGCACCGAATCATTTAAAGAACTGCTATGCTCTCCCTCTTCGGTAGGTGGTCTTCAACAACAACTATCAATTTGCTTGTTGGCAGTTAACATTCTCCTCTCCATCACGGCATTTGCTGGAAATTCTCTTATCCTTGTTGCCCTTCAAAAGGAATCTTGCCTGCATCCGCCGAAACCACTGATCTGTTGGTTGGTCTTGTTACCCAGCCTCTCTATGCTACATATTGGATTTCCTTGGTTCAGGAACACTGGCGCCTTTGTCAATACGCACTTGACGCTGGCTCTGTATTGTATTTAGTGTCTTTGATGACTATGACGGCCATAAGCGTGGACAGACTTCTCGCCTTGTTGTCGGGGCTGAGATACCAATTGTAACTGAAGCGCACGTATATTATTGTAACTGCCTTCAGGGTTTTTACCCCTGTCGCCTCTTTATGTGGAATTTGTTATCACCGTATGATCTTTTTGTACGGCTACCTAGTGACAGCATTTTGCCTGGTAATATCACTAGCATCGTACATTAAGATTTTTCGCACTCTGAGATATCATCAAGCACAGGTACGAAGTCAACAACAGCCGAGCCAAATAAATGCACTGAACATGGCGCGATTCAGAAAGGCTGTATACAGTGCACTGTGGGTGCAGTCAGCATTAGTTGTTTGTTATTTACCAGTATATACAGTGGGATTTGTCATCACTCTTACTAAAAAATATTCATTACTCTTGATCGTCGCACGGAGAAGGGCAGTTATTTTCCTTTCGTTTAACTCCACCTTAAACCCTTTTCTTTATTGCTGGAAGATTAGTTAAGTGAGACAAGCAGTGAAGCTGAAATAGGTCTTCCTTTAATGGTTCTTTAGACTTTCAAAGCAGACTTATTAAGTCATGATTATTGTTGGAGAGCAGTCGTCAGATAGGTTATTGGATAAAGTGGCTCAATGGAATAGTTGCGCAGGCTGTTGTCGATAGTCTTTGTATCTCTGAGAACAATCTAACGACAGACTTGATAACCGTAGC